ACAGCCAAGCCTGCCACGTCTGCATGCCCGCTTTGAAGTGTCACCTTGAGGGAAGAGCCGATGGCCGGGAAGCCAGGAGGGCGGGAGCCGCGGAGAGGAGTGGCACGGTTGGCATTGCCAGACATGGCGCTTTAATATTGCATGGGCTCCCGTCCATCTCTGTACACACTCAGGACATTCCTTCTGCTTGATTTAGTTTGAAAGTAGATCTTTGTTTTTTTTTTTTCCCCTCCTCTCTCGCCATGCTGTGGCTCAACACCTGTGCTGGTTTTGTGCTCGTTCTTTCCTGAACAAATGTCAAGCTCTGCAGTCAGAGGAACTTTAACAACTCCCTGCATTATGAAACTTGACAGTGTTGCATTCAGCCTGCTGATTGATGCAGAGTGGATCTCCAGCGTCGTGAGTCACCGCCCTGAACTGATTTTCAGAAGGGAATATTTTCAAATTTACAGTTAAATTTGAGAATATTTGAACAATTCCATGTTTACTCTCCACAAATGTTTTATAATTGCAAAACTTTAACTGTCGATAAAACCACAACACTCCGTGTCGCCTTCTACCTTCATGCATCTTGAAACTAAAAAGAATAAGATGAAATGTGGTTTTATAAAATGCATGAGACAAGTTGATCAGCGTTGGAAACTGACAACACTTTCATCACTTTAAATAATAATAATGTCCATTGCTGGTAAACATGACACAAATCAAACTGTTAAATCGATAATTACATGCAACATTGGCCGACTTTCTGCAAATCCAAGTACGATCCAGTCTGGTGCTAATTGCTAATGTTGCTTTCATCACTTGCTCAAATGGCCTCTTCCTTGAGGAGAACCCACCGGGGGATCGAACTTAAACTTTTACTATTTCTCTCCAGTCGCGTTGTGTTTCACCCCGACCTGCTGCCAGCTCGGTTTCATAGCGCGGCGGGGAATCAAACATGGCGTTGGTTTGAGGAGTTTATCAACAGAGCCTGCAGGAAGGAGGTGTTTTGAAGTGAGGAAAAACGCGTTTAAAAAAACACTCACACTGCACGCACTTTCTACCCACTTTAACAACCGTCCCAGTTCACAAATAGCAGTTTTAACTCCCCTGATTAGCACTGACATATGCAGGCTTTCATCTCTCCCTCCATCTTGTTTTTTTAATCAGATTAACCCAAACGGGCATCCTTTAATGGCCTCTTTTTTAGGAAAGCTGAAAGAAGGGAGATAATTAAAATAATTAAACCGCTGGGACCAGCCTGAGCGCGCTCCTCTTTTCTTCTTGCCTTTAAGTTTTGATTCTGCCTTGCTTACTGATTCGAGCAGTACAGAGAGAGAAAGACTCATCATCCTCACTTAATTGCATTAAGTTGACTCTCGGAGGTCCAATTTTTCCCTCCAAAACCAGCAGCCAATGTAGGATCTGATCTTTAGGTGCATGTCAGCCATCTAAATGTGGAAGCAGAGGGGGGAGGGCATGTTTCTAAACAGCCTTTATGGAGCATATTTATTTAGTCAGCGAGTGTATTTTGCATAAGGCCGAAGATAAAATAAAAAAAGCTGAGAAAAAAGTATCCTCTTCAATGATTATTTATTCATGGACTTTTAAGCTTTTAATGAGGACAAATGAAGCCGTTTTCCAGAGTGTCAGTATGTAGTATGCTTACCAAAAATATTCTTGTTTAGCATTATCTCTTGCACTGCGTCCGCAAGGAATAAACACTAACATTTAAATATAACTAGGATTTTGGAGCAAGACTTTGAAGCAATCAGTTTGTCTTGATCTTGCATGAATAGAAAATTTCCCCACAAGTTCTGATCAGACCCAGCGATGATGACGATGATGAGGAGGAGGATGATTTATTCATTTTCAGTTATCCTAATTGGAGCTAAATTGGTCAAAATTAAATTGACGAAGATTGGATTCAAATAAAAGGAGTTTGTCTTTTTCGGATAAAATTGTCGAACTTCATTCGAGCAACTTTATCACTCAGTGACCCCCTGAACCTGACAAATATATGCTCCTTAATATGAATTATTCACTCGTATGTCATTTATTCTCATTCATATGAACACATGTGTCGTACGTTCGTAACTTCCACACCGACAACCTCAAGGAAAAAATGTAGGCTATACAGCAGCATCTGAGTTATCTTCTGCATTATAGGTGTACATATCTTGAATATTATAATTACACATCTTCAGATGAATTCAAACTTTACTTCCTGTCAAAAGGAATCTAATGAATTTCTTGTATGAGGATTTTACTGAAAGCAAGAGCCCCGACATCCTCCTCAGAGCGCAGCCCCGAACTTTACACAAGCTCGGATGTGTCTTTCCCCCCTCATGCACTTTCGCTTCATTCAGATCATTTTCACAGGGCTTCATTTCAAGTTGGCACAAAAAAAGAGAGGGGAAGAATTCCTTTGCTGGAAATACTTAAGATTTATATTTAAACTTTCATGGAATCTTTGAGAACATTGAGGAGCAATTTCACATTTGCACTGACATCTAATTTCTCAAGTAGAGTCTGAAAGCACAAATTGCCAAGGATTCCCTATGTGCCCAATTATCCTGCATCAATTTCCTTGACCCTGCGGAATGCTGGTAAATTAATCATAGCACTTTTTTTTTTTTTTTTTTTTTTAAATACATATGCACACGTTTGATAAACTAATCATACTTGGTCGGTTATGCTCACAAAAAATGATTCAGTCCCTAAAGTGGGATGAGAGTTAGCAGCAAGGCCCAGGGAATTGGGAGCTGATAAAACATACGTCGTCACATGTGCACACACTAACAATAAAATATGTGCACAAGAAAAATTTAAATTAAAAAAAATCACAAAATAACATTAAAGC